AATTAGCCAGGTATGGTGGCGCATGCCTGTAGTCCCAGCTACTTGGGAGGCTGAGACAGAAGGATCGCTTGAGCCCAGGAGTTTGAGGTTGCTGTGAGCTAGGCAGACACCACAGCACTCACTCTAGCCTGGGCGACAAAGCGAGACTCTGTCTCAAAAAAATAAAAAAAAAAAAGAAAAGTTAAGAAACTTAAACCCAAGGTCATCCAGTGGTCAAGGGTGACAGCCAGATCCCATGCCAGGTTTATTAGGATTAAAGAGGCACGGGTGTGTGAAGGCACGTGCCACATGGGCAGAGCCTCTGCAGATCTGGAGGTCATGACACATGTGGCTGCAGGTGTCACCCAAGAGCCAACCCAGGGTGCACTTTTCTCCATCTCTAGGCACCAAGAGAACAGTGAGACCTGAGTCTTGTTACACAAATACATGTCCTTTCTTCCGCCCCCCCCAGAATTTTAAAGCTTGAATTCAAGATGACTGAAAAATCAGGTCAGCCAAGCTCCCTGCTGCTTGGCTGCAAACATTGGTTTCCTCAAGGTTTTGTCTCAGTGCTGTCCTCAGGGTAACATGACTCATTATGGAGACCAAGCCCTCAGCAGCTGCCCGAATCCACTGTCTGTCCACCTTTCCACAAACCAGAAAGCCTCATTATTCTATCGGAGCAGTGCCTGAAAAATAAATGTAATTTCTATTCTCTCAAATTCCTATAACTTTTGCTCTCATAGCCCTGGTTTATAACTTTATTACACGATACCACAATCTCACTATTGGCAGTCAGAAATCTTGGTTAGCTGCATGATGTCCCCCTCACCCAGACTGTGAGAAGTCTTTGTTCTTTCAGTCAACAAATAACCACGCTATTGAGTTCCCACTTTGTGCCATACACTGTTTTAGATCCTTTGTTTAGTGTAAGGCTGGTGGCGGCCCTCCCTTCCCTAGACCAAAAAAGAAAAGGCTCATGAGACCACACCCGCCAAGGACAAAACTGCCAGGCCCCGCTGAGAGGATCCACACCCAGATGTCCACCGGATAAGAACGTTTCGCAAATACCGCCAGCCCCTCCTATTTCTCAGTGACCACCAAAGGTTGCCCCAGCTCTTCATGCCAAAAGTTCTAGCCTGCCCAAAGGGTAAAAAAGGCCGCACCCCCTTCAAACGGAGGCGACTTCTGGGGCCCCCATCTCTTGGGGCCCCAGAACCTCATCTGGGAGCACTAAGCAAAGCCACGTGGTTTGGTCCCACTCTTTCCCTCTCTCTCTCTCTGTCTTTTCTTTTCGCTGCCGCCAAAAATCCTTATATTTAGTATAGTTACTTTAGTTGAAAAAAAATTGCTAATAGTTGACTCCAGGCGACTTACTGAAATGTGCATGCAAGAATCATCTGCAGCTAACACACTGGCTTGCATAAAAAGTGGCACCTTAAAGCAGCCGGGGGTGCTTCAGAAGTCAGTGGCCTGTTTAGGCATGTTTGCTTTAACCTGATACATAGGAGAAACAAATCTAGTAAATGAAGTAAATGAGCTGCTTATTTTTTTCTAAGTTAACAGGGAAAGCATTTACCATGAAAAACAAATGTCAGCTAGTCTGTGTTTGTCCCCAACTCCAAAATAAAGGATTTTAAAATTAATGAGGTTAATCTAGAGAAAAAACAAAACAGAACCAGAAAGCAAGAATTTTTACATTTTCATCCTAAAGACTCGTTGTGCGAATAGGAGTGCCCTTAGAGAAGAAGAAAGTCCACACCCAAGACCTGAGCTTCATCCTGTGCTGCAGGAGCGATCGTGTCCCCTCGGCTAGGTGGCTGCACACACGCCCACACCTGGGAGGTCTGGAGATCTTTGCTCAGGTACTTGCATTTGGAATCTCATTCATTCTCTAGAGCCTCCTGCTTGGAGGTTCCGATGGGAGAAGTAGAAAGAGAACAGAGAATCAGGGAGACGGAGTGGGGCGGAAAGAGATTGAAATGACAAATGGCTCACACTGAGCATGGACAAATGGGCACGTCCTATGTACGAAACCTAAAATTCTCTTCTTTTGTTTGGGGATCTAGTTTGCCAGTTATAACGATTTGCTACTATCTGCCTTGGCAACCAGGGAAAAACATTTAATTTCATCTTTATATGATAGTTCAATTTCCCCCAGTAACTTCTTAGCTCAAGAAACCTCTATGTAGAATATAAATAAAATAATCTTAAATCAAAATTAAGATTTAACAGAGTAAATATCCACGCAATGCACTTGGCTAAGGATTACTGAGAACTGGGAGGTCTGTGTCTAATCATAGTTCATGGCTTACAGTCAGAGTACGTCTGTGCTTTCAAGTTGTCCAGAACGTTTGAAAAGGTTCACTATTTTCAATGTCACCTTTCTGATCGATGGTGGCAACAAGCTACAGAAAGAAGACACTACACACATCAGGATGCTCAGGCAGTTGCTAGCTAACCTGGTGGATAAAGCTAAAATCTGGAATTTCAACTTGAAGATTCATGTTTCCCTTTAATGTCCTCTGGGGGAGCCTGGATATTAAGTTAAAGATGAAAGGGATTGCTCCTAAAAATCACTTGTAATCCTTGGCCATCTGTAAACCTTAATGGAGCTGTTGTTCACCATAAAAGAATCTTTAAAGTTTAAGAGAGTTGTCAATTACAGTGAACGCTGCAGCTGTTCTGAAATGTAAAAGTATACACCTATGCAAATGCAAAAGTGGGTTTCTAGGCAGGAGAAAGAGTCCTGTCTGCCTTAATACTTTATCCCTTGTCTGAATTTTTTTCGTCCATCTGGTTTGTAGAGACCAGTGGGGAGTTGGGAAGACAGTAGCTGTCCAGTGTTCCTGTCCCTGTACCAAAGGCTTGAACCCCTTCTGTGTCATTCTAAATGTAAGTACAGTCTGTCAACCTCTTGCAAACCAGCTGTATCCCAAGCTTTGGGGTTTTGAGGACCTGGTGTGGCAGAGACTATAAGCTGACCACTTCAAAACTCACCGTCTCTTTCCCCGTCTGCATTCTGACTTTACTTGGGAGAGCCATGCACACAGCTAGAAAGACAACTTTTCCTAATCTCTCTTGCAGCTAGATGTGGCGAGGTGACCAGATGTTGACCAATGAGGTACATGTAGAAGGGCTGAATATACTTCGGTGAGGTCCTTCATGGAGAGGGAGTGGGGCTTTCAGCCTCTTACTCTTTTTCCTGCATGGAAAGCAAATGTAATGACTGGAGCCTCAACAGCCATTTCAGACCACAAGGTGACCTTGAGGAGAAAGCCAAAATGATTAAAGGAGCATGGGTCACCGATACATGGAACACCCGAGGTGGCTGGACTGCTGTCTCCAGATTTCTTTTACATAAGAGTAAATAAGCCTCTATTTGTATAAGACATTGATCCCATATGGTGGAGCATAATTCCGATACACTTAGGAAATTGTTGAAGGAATGTACATTCTGAAATATCGAGCATTTGTTGTACTAAACACAACAGACATGCCTACAATGCAATTAACAATGCCAACAGTTTATCTTTGAAAGGCTCTGCGTGACCTTGTATGCAGCGATGGCTTGTCATTGCGGTACCAAGCATAGAGCAGGCGATATGTCCGTTAGCGTTGTAAGGGTGCTGTCTTTACAGGTCCTGGGAGCCACAGAAACCATGTTTTATGTTGAATAATTACCAAAATGAAGTGATGGCATAATAAATACTTTACAGGATTAGTGTTTTCAATTGTGAGGATGTAAAAACTTTTTAAATTTGTTTTTAACTAACAAGACATTTTTGAGTGCCTACTAAGTACCAGGCAATGTGCTAATAAACACTTACATAATTTCACTTAATCTTTATAAGCACATACAACTATTATTCTCACTTAATAGATGGGGAAAGAGAAGGGATAAGTCACTTGCCCAAGGTCACATGGCAAAGCTGAAAATCAGACCGAAGGCAGTCAGGTTTCAGGGCCTGTATCATGAAACACTGAACTAAGGCATCTTCCATGATTATTTTTCTCTAGATAGTTTTGAACACCCTCAGTTCCTCTACTTTCTCCAATGAGCTATGTCAGAGTGGCTGTCCCTGTTTGTGTGAGTTAGAAAGCTGAATCCAGAAAGGGCTTGCTCATCTTAAAGGTAAGATTGGCACATGTAGTGACCGTATCAACAGTTTGACCTCGAGGGACAGAGAGCCAAAGCAAATCTACTTGGTCCCTTCCTTGAGTGTAGTTTTGTCCTTTAGGTCTTTAAATCGAAGGAAACTTCAAGGGTCAAGACTGATATTCAGTCTGAAAAAATTAGAACCACCTTTGAGTTAAGACAAAGAAACACATATGTTTGTTATATTTTAATCAGAATTAGACATTTAATGCCATAAAAACATTCCATATATGGCTTTGCTGCTCCAAAACGCATGAACTTAAACCCAAACATGACACAAGCAGTTTTAGGAATGATTTTGGCCAGCCTCCCCAATCCCAAAAGAGATTAAAAAGTAATAATGTAAAAAAGTTAAGGTAAAGGTGTTTTAAAATCACATCGCAGCAACAACTAACCATTTGTTTGCTGGTGGCTTCTACTCCACCCCGAAGCTGCTGAGCTTAACCTGCTGTTGACCAAGTGGTCAGTTGCTAGTTCCCTGGGTGATTGTCCCTGAAGTTCAGCCATGCATCAGGCACTTTAAGTGGGGTAGTTACCTTTTCCAGGTTGGGTCCCGTGTCTGGCTCTCAAAAGCAAGGTACAGAACGTCCGGTGGGCAGACGGCCCGCGCGGGAAGCGCTGGGACCTCGGCACACCGCGGGTGTTCCGGAGAGCCCGGGCTGGCAAGCAGGTCGCTTAAGTTCCGCACTTGCCGTGGGCGTGGGCACAGTGGCTCATTGAGGTTTTTATTCCAGCGTCCCGCAGGACAGCCCATCCACACAGAGTGGTGCTGGGGACATTTAGCGAGCGGTATGGCACAGGCAGTGACGGCTGGGACAGACGCGATGTAAACACGGCGAGGCCCAGGGGCCCGCGTGGAGGGCGAATGCAGCCCCCGCTGCGCCACTCGCGCCCTAGTCGGCCTCGCCCGCGTCTTCTCCCGCAGTGGCCGCTTCCAACGCCGCCAGGGCTTCCGCCACCGCCGCGTCCTCCTCCGCGACGCCCCCGCCCCCGCGGGAGCCCCGCGCGCCCTGCCGCCCGCTTCCCGAGAGGCCGGCGGGCGCGGCGCGGGCAGGGCCCCCCTCTCCGGCGCAGGCACTGGGCGCTGCGGCCTCGGGGAGCGAATCCCAGCTTCCCTCCACCGAGAAGGGCGCCGAGCCGCGCTCCTGCACCGCAGGCGGGGCTGCCCCCGCGGGCCCGGCCTCAGCGCGGCTCCTGAAAAGGCAGTCCTCCCCTTCGCGCTCCGCGCCGTCGGCGGCCGCGCCCCACGGCCGAGGGTGATCTGGGGCCGGCGTCTGCAGGCCCAGGCCCTGTGCGTCCCCCGCAGGACTCCCGGCGCGCGTGACCCGGGGGCGCGCCCCCAGCGCCGGCCGCGCACAGGCCCGCTTCCCCGTGCTGCCTCCGCGCAGGAACGGGCGAGCCGCGCGCCTGCCGTCCGCAGTGCCGGCCCGGGAGCCCCTGTCGTCCCGCGGGGACCTGGGGCTCCCGGGGGGCTGTGGAGCCGAGGCAGGGCCGGTGCCATTGACGGCACCGTCCATACAGTGTCCGCCTGCAGGGTCCCCCTGTGGGAGCCGCCCCAGGTGGGGCCGCGGGCCGCTCCCTCTGCCCCCGCTCCCGGTTCTCACGCCCTCCCCTGGAGGGTCACTTCTCTGCTCCAGGCATTCGCTGCTCTGTTTGCCTTTTAATTTAACAGTGTCGTCTTCATCTAACTTGCAGCTGTTGACTTCGTTGACATAGCCGGGGGAGGGCACTTGCACCGGATCGAAGAGATAGCTGGGGTGAGAAGGATGAAAAAAGCAGTCAGATTTGCCCCATCATTCACACTCCCTACCGCAGGCTCCGCTGCTTTCTACTATTGCTGCTAATTTAATTTCTGTGGCTAGTTACTTTTAAAATCTATATAAGTGTGTCTAAATATAGTTGGTATAAAAATGTTCTACCACACTGGAAATGGATCTTAAGAAGAGATCCAAAACGGGGTGTGAGCGGAGAAGGTAAGAGACAAAGAGGTTCACGGAATTTTAAAATAAAAGTAAATAAAACAATGTCCATTAATAGGGACATGAAGAGTTAAGTACTGATGGTCCATCCCCACAATGGAATATTATCCTGTCATTACACCAATAAATATAAAATCTGTAGTTGCATGAAAGATACTTAGAGTAAATAGTTTAAAAATAAAGCCAAACATCACATAATGATGACAGTGGAGTAAACCATATCTGGAGTAGACATAGTTGTTAAGGAAGCAAGCCCACCAGTTATTTCTTTCCTTTATCTTACATAGTTCATTCATGTTACTTGAACTTTTATGAAATGTAACATGGACAAACTTAAAAGCACACATGTGATTGGGGCGATTTATTTTCAGTGATGCCATTTCAGGCAGGCTCCAAAACCCAGGCTTTTCTTTGTGTTGAAGCTCTTTGAAGAAATGTAAATTCAACCTAAACCAAATACACTCCTAGAGAACAATGGTGCTCCTAACATGCTTTGGGAAGTGAGCAAAAAAAAGCTTAAAAATCTAGGCCATATGTCCTCTTAAATGGTATCAAAACAGTTCCAAGCTCTTAATTTTATGAGCAATGTTGATTGTGTCCTGGGTTGGACACGATGCACTGAATTCGTGCATGGTCTTTAAAACCGACTCCAGGATAATCCCAAATTCCTCCATTTAGATGAAGCATTTTTTCAACTTTACCTTTGAATCATTTTACAGCACCTGCACCCCATCTGGATTATTTTTTGTTAACATCTGGAAAAGAAAGTGTGCAAGGCAGAGAACACAGTGAATGACATTAGAGGGAATTAGGTTTGCTTTTTCTTTCCTACATACTCAAAATTAACAGAGACACAAATCTTGGCAATACCTCACTAACATGCCGGTCAGGGAGGGTGCTGGACACCAGAAACACTACGTGTTCTAAAATCCTCCATTCAGAGTCCTCTGACATTCGCCTACACCCACCACCATGCCAAACCCTTTCCCTGCGCTGCGAGTCACCCACTGCCTCCCCAGCACCAGTGAGAAAGCGCGCCGGGAGAACACTAAGGGAGGAGGAAGGGCGCCTGGAGAACACTAAGGGAGGAGGAAGGGCACGTGGGGACGCTGGAGGAGGAGGAAGGGTGCCTGGAGAACACTAATGGAGGAGGAAGGGCGCGTGGGGGCGTTGGAGGAGGAGGAAAGGCGCGTGGGCAGGCTGGAGGAGGAGGAAGGGCGCGTGGGGACGCCGGAGGAGGAGGAAGGGCGCGTGGGCAGGCTGGAGGAGGAGGAAGGGCGCGTGGGGACGCCGGAGGAGGAGGAAGGGCGCGTGGGGACGCCGGAGGAGGAGGAAGGGCATGTGGGGACACCGGAGGAGGAGGAAGGGCGCGTGGGGACACGCGCGCCTCCTCCTCCAGCCTGCCCAGGCGCCTTCCTTCCTCCCGGCGTCCACGCGGCCCTTACTCCTCCTCCGGCGTCCCACGCGCTCTTCTCCTCCTCCGGGCGTCCCCCACGCCCCTTTCCTCCTCCCTCCGGCGGTCCCCACGCGCTCTCCTCCTCCTCCGGCGGGTCCCCCCACGCGCTCCGTTGCCTCCTCCTCGGCGTCCCCACGCGCCCTTCCTCCTCCTCGCAGCCTGCCCACGCGCCCTTCCTCCTCCTCCATACTGCACCCCACGCGCCCCTTCCTCCTCCTCCAAGCCTGCCCACGCGCCCTTCCTCCTCCAACACGTCCCCACGCGCCTTCCTCCTCCTCCAGGGCGTCCCCCACGCGCCTTCCTCCTTCCTCCAGCCTGCCCACGCGGCCCTTCCTCCTCCTCCAGCCTGCCCACGCGCCCTTCCTCCTCCCTCGGCGTCCCCACGCGCCCTTCCTTCCTCCTCCGAGCCTCCCAGGCCTGCTTCTCCTCCTCCAACGCCCACGCGCCCCTTCCTCCTCTCAGCCTGCCCACGCGCCTTCCTCCTCCTCCAGCCTGCCCACGCCGCCTTCCTCCTCCTCCAGCCCTGCCACGGCGCCCTTCCTCCTCTCCGGCGCGTCCCCACGCGCCCTTCCTCCTCCTCCAGCCTGCCCACGCGCCTTTCCTCCTCCTCCAACGCCCCCACGCGCCCTTCTCCTCCATTAGTTGTCTCCAGGCACCCTTCCTCCTCCTCCAGCGTCCCCACGCGTCCTCCTCCCTTAGTGTTCTCCAGGCGCCCTTCCTCCTCCCTTAGTGTTCTCCAGGCGTCGTCTTTCTCACTGGTGCTGGGGAGGCAGTGGTGACTCGCAGCGCAGGGAAAGGGTTTGGCATGGTGGTGGGTGTAGGCGAATGTCAGAGGACTCTGAATGGAGGATTTTAGAACACGTAGTGTTTCTTGGTGTCCAGCACCCTCCCTGACCGGCATGTTATGAGGTATTGCCAAGATTTGTGTCTCTGTTAATTTTGAGTATGTAGGAAAAAAAAAGCCAAACCTAATTCCCTCTAATGTCATTCACTGTGTTCTCTGCCTTGCACACTTTTTCTTTTCCAGATGTTAACAAAAAAATATCCAGATGGGGTGCAGGTTGCTGTAAAATTGATTCAAAGGTAAAGTTGAAAAAATGCTTCATCTAAATGAGGAATTTTGGGATTATCCTGGAGTCCGGTTTTAAAGACCATGCACGAATTCAGTGCATCGTGTCCAACCCAGGACACAATCAACATTGCTTCATAAAATTAAGAGCTTGGAACTGTTTTGATACCATTTAAGAGGACATATGGCCTAGATTTTTAAGCTTTTTTTTGTCACTTCCCAAAGCATGTTGGGAGCACCATTGTTCTCCTAGGAGTGTATTTGGTTTAGGTTGAATTTACATTTCTTCAAAGAGCTTCAACACAAAGAAAAGCCTGGGTTTTGGAGCCTGCCTGAAATGGCATCACTGAAAATAAATCGCCCCAATCACATGTGTGCTTTTAAGTTTGCTCATGTTACATTTCATAAAAGTTCAAGTAACATGAATGAACTATGTAAGATAAAGGAAAGAAAAAACTGGTGGGCTTGCTTCCTTAACAACTATGTCTACTCCAGATATGGTTTACTCCACTGTCATCATTATGTGATGTTTTGCTTTATTTTTAAACTATTACTCTAAGTATCTTTCATGCAACTACAGATTTTATATTTATTGGTGTAATGACAGGATAATATTCGCATTGTGGGGATGGACCATCAGTACTTAACTCTTCATGTCCTATTAATGGACATTGTTTTATTTACTTTTATTTTAAAATTCCGTGAACCTCTTTGTCTCTTACCTTCTCCGCTCACACCCCGGTTTTGGATCTTTCTTAAGATCCATTTCCAGTGTGGTAGAACATTTTTATACCAACTATATTTAGACCACACTTATATAGATTTTAAAAAGTAACTACCACAGAAATAAATTAGCAGCAATAGTAGAAAGCAGCGGACCCTGCGGTAGGGAGTGTGAATGATGGGGCAAATCTGACTGCTTTTTTCCATCTTCTCACCCCAGGTATCTTCTTCGATCCGGTGCAAGTGCCCTCCCCCGGCTATGTCCAACGAAGTCAACAGCTGCAAGTTTAGATGAAGACGACACTGTTAAATTAAAAGGCAAACAACAGAGCACGAATGCCTGGAGCAGAGAAGTGACCCTCCAGGGGAGGGCGTGAGAGAACCGGAGCGGGGCAGAGGGAGCGGGCCCGCGGCCCCACCTGGGGCGGCTCCCGCAGGGGGACCCTGCAGGCGGACACTGTATGGACGGTGCCGTCAATGGCAACCGGCCCTGCCTCGGCTCCACAGCCCCCGGGAGCCCCAGGTCCCGCGGGACGACAGGGGCTCCGGGCCGGCACTCGCGGACGGCAGGCGCGCGGCTTCGCCGTTCCTGCGCGGGAGGCAGCCACCGGGAAGCGGGCCTGTGCGCGGCCGCCGCTGGGGCGCGCCCCCGGGTCACGCGCGCCGGGAGCTCCTGCGGGGACGCACAGGGCCTGGGCCTGCAGACGCCGGCCCCAGATCACCCTCGGCCGTGGGCGCGGCGGCCCGACGGCGCGGAGCGCGAAGGGGAGGACTGCCTTTTCCGGAGCGGCTGAGGCGGCCGCGGGCAGCCCGCGCTGCGGTGCAGGAGCCGCGGCTCGGCGGTTCTCGTGGAGGAAGCTGGGATTCGCTCCCGAGGCCGCAGCGCCCAGTGCCTGCGCGGGGGGGGGGGGGGGGGGGGGGGGGGGGGGGGGGAGAGGGGGCCCTGCCCGCGCCGCGCCCGCCGGCCTCTCGGGAAGGCGGGCGGCAGGCGCGCGGCTCCGCGCGGGGCGGGGGCGGGGCGCTCGCGGAGGAGACGCGCGGGCGGAAGCTTGGGGCGTTGGAAGGGCCACTGCGGGAGAAGACGCGGGGGGCGACTAGGGCGGGGAGTGGCGCAGCGGGGCTGCATTCGCCTCCCCTGGGCCTCGCCGTGTTTACATCGCGTCTGTCCCAGCCGTCACTGCCTGTGCATAGCCCTGCGCTAAATGTCCCAGGCACCACTCTGTGTGGATGGGCTGTCCTGCGGACGCTGGATAAAAACCTCAATGAGCCACTGTGCCACGCCCACGGCAAGTGCGGAACTTAAGCGACCTGCTTGCCAGCCCGGGCTCTCCGGGAACACCCGCGGTGTGCCGAGGTCAGCGCTTCCCGCGCGGGCCGTCTGCCCACCGGACGTTTCTGTACCTTGCTTTTGAGAGCCAGACACGGGACCCAACCTGGAAAAGGTAACTACCCCACTTAAAGTGCCTGATGCATGGCTGAACTTCAGGGACAATCACCCAGGGAACTAGCAACTGACCACTTGGTCAACAGCAGGTTAAGCTCAGCAGCTTTGCGGGTGGAGTAGAAGCCACCAGCAAACAAATGGTTAGTTGTTGCTGCGATGTGATTTTAAAACACCTTTACCTTAACCTTTTTTACATTATTACTTTTTAATCTCTTTTGGGATTGGGGAGGCTGGCCAAAATCATTCCTAAAACTGCTTGTGTCATGTTTGGGTTTAAGTTCATGGCGTTTTGGAGCCAGCAAAGCCATATATGAATGTTTTTATGGCATTAAATGTCTAATTCTGATTAAAATATAACAAACATATGTGTTTCTTTGTCTTAACTCAAAGGTGGTTCTAATTTTTTCAGACTGAATATCATCTTGACCCTGAAGTTTCCTTCGATTTAAAGAACCTAAAGGACAAAACTACACTCAAGGAAGGGACCAAGTAGATTTGCTTTGGCTCTCTGTCCCTCGAGGTCAAACTGTTATTGATACGGTCACTACATGTGCCAATCTTACCTTTAAGATGAGCAAGCCCTTTCTGGATTCAGGCTTTTCTAACTCACACAAACAGGACAGCCACTCTGACATAGCTCATTGGAGAAAGTGAGGAACTGAGGGGTGTTCAAAACTATCTAGAGAAAAATAATCATGGAAGATGCCTTAAGTTCAGTGTTTCATGATACAGGCCCTGAAACCTGACTGCCTTCGGTCTGATTTTCAGCTTTGGCCATGTGACTTGGGCAAGTGACTTATCCCTTCTCTTTCCCCATCTATTAAGTGAGAATAATAGTTGTATGTGCTTATAAAGATTAAGTGAAATTATGTAAGTGTTTATTAGCACATTGCCTGGGTACTTAGTAGCGCATCTCAAAAATGTCTTGTATTAGTTAAACAAATTTAAAAAGTTTTTACATCCTCACAATTGAAACAAACATAACATCCTGATAACAGAGTCACTTTATCTCAATGGCCATCCCTTCATTTCCGGGTAATCTAATTCCCAACATAAAACATGA